GCTATTTTTTTTTTTTAACTTATTCCTTGTACAGACGGAGTCTTCTTATGCTGCCCAGGCTGGTCTCGAACTCCTAGACTCTAGAGATCCTCCTCCTTGGCCTCCCAAAGTTCGGGATTACAGGCATGAGCCACCACACCCGGCCCATCTCGAAACATTTAACAAGCACTCACTATGGTGTCAGGCTCCTTGGTAAGTCCTGAAGGCCTAGAAGTGAATGAGGCTCAGCCCCAGCCCTCAAAAACTTCAGAGGCAGTGAGGGAGACAGGCTTAAAACTGGAGTGAATCTGACAAGGAGAGTGCAACAACTCACCTGCGGGCGGTGGGCAGGTGGTTGGGGGTAGTTGGGAAGAAAACAGAGTCACTGTGGAGGGTGATGTGGGCTAAGATAAAAGTCTGGATGCAAAGTAATGAGGTAAGGAATTCAGAACCGGAGCTACTGAGTCTACCAGGAAATGTCCAGAAGGTTCACAGAGGGAAAGGAGAGCCGAACCTTGAGGGAGGCGGGAGAGTTGGCCAGGTCCACTTAGAGGGAACTACATTGTTGGCAGAGGGAACACATCAGTGAAAGCATCTCCTACCTCTGGACAGTCCTAGCGATTTTCTGCTTCACCACCGTACAGTATTTCTTCAGTCTAAAACTTTAATGAGGACTTGTATTTCCAGGACACCCTAGTGATCTGACAAAGGATTTCAAAGGTGTTTAATTGTTGCTCCTTCCCTTGGTGGAGTATCCAACTTTCCTGGCACATCCACACTTACAATCTCATTGTGCCTTCTCATCACTGGGGAGATAAACAAGGTGGGCACTGTTAGTCCCATTTTACAGATAGGGCACAGAGGCCTGAGGGGGCAAAGTGACTGTGAAGGTTAGAAGTGAAAGGGAACTTTCATTTTATTTCATTTTTTATTTATTTATTTTTTTGAGACAGAGTCTCCGTCTCCCAGGCTGGAGAGCGGTGACACAATCTCGGCTCACTGCAACCTCTGCCTTCTGGGTTTGAGCGATTCTCCTGCCTCAGCCTCCCAAGTAGCTGGGATTACAAATGCACACCACCATCCTTCATTAATTTTTGTATTTTTAGTAGAGACGGGGTTTCCTCATGTTAGCCAGGCTAGTCTTGGACTCCTGACCTCAAGCGATCCACTTGCCTCAGCCTCCCAAAGTGTTGAGATTACAGGAGTGAGTCACCCTGCCTGGCCAGAGGGAACTTTTAGATCACAGCTAGAATCCTTTCCTCATGTTTAGGTGAAGAAACTGAGGTCTGGAGAGATGGCCTGATTCCCAGGCACACTGTGCCTTCAGAGTCAGGTGGTTGGTTCAGGGCAGACTGCAAACGTGAAACCTCAGGCTCGGTCTCCCAGCTAGACTCCAGGATTTGAAGAAATGCCACCCTAGCTAAGATGAAATCAGATAGACATGTTGTCTTTTGTACCCAATGACGAGGGGGTAAATTGATCCAATCTTTTGGGTGGCGATCTAAAAATTTAGCACGTATGTACCTTCCATTAGACGATTCTGTTTTTCGGAATTCATTGTACAGATACTTCCACCTGTGTACATGAGAATGTATGCACCAGGGTGTTCAGTGAAGCATGGTTTATTGAAGCCAGAATTGGAACCAGCCTGGATGTCTGTCTATCAGGAGGGGGACACTTAAATCAACTAAGATCCATCTAAAACTGAGGGGTACTATGCAGCCTTTAAAAGAAGAAGGCAGTTCCATATGTACTCATGTGGAATAAGAACTATGTGTACATGATGCTGCCATTTGTGGAGTGTGAGGAAGATGGGCTGCCAGGCTCTTATGTTCTTTTTGTTTTGTTTTGTTGTTGTTTGGAGATAGGGTCTTGCCCTGTCACCCAGGTTGGAATGCAGCAGCACAATCAATAGCTCACTGCAGCCTCAAACTTCTGGGCTCAAGCAATCATCTTGCCTCAGCCTCCTAAAGCACTGGGATTACAGGCACACACCAGTACCACACCGGGCTAGATTTTTGTTTTTGTTTTGTAAAGATGGGGTCTCACTATGTTGCCCAGGCTGGTCTCAAATGCCTGGCCTCAAGCAATCCTTCAGCCTTGGCCTCCCAAGTGCTGGGATTACAGACCTGAGCCACCACACATAGCCTTCTTATGTTCTTAGACAAGACCCATGAAGAAGGAAACCTAGAAGCCAGGGAAAGGGAGGCTAGAGAGAGTTGTAGGAAGCCTTGCTTTTCACTGTCAGCTCTTAGCCCTGTTTGAATTTTCTGTCTGCCTTTTATCCATAGAAATTCCATGTGGAAATCTCTCTAATCCAGATTCCCCCTTACCTGTTCCACTGGAGATTTTTGACAAAATTGAGCAATAACTGTTGGTGCTAAATCCACCAGAAATACTTTTCAGTTTTCATTTCATTCACTGATTTCTTTATTCAACAAATATTTCCAGTGTGTACATAGGTCTCCGGCATGGTTCTAGGCCTAGGGCACACAGTACGGCAGAGGGAGGTGCAAGAGAAAGACAGAAGGGATCAGACCTCATGGGAAGCTTGCTGGCTGTGCAGAATAAGAAGTTTGGATTTTGTTCTCAAGGCAATGAGAAAATAGAAGGTTTAAAGGAGGGAAGGAGGGGAGAGATCCAATCTGATTTCTTCTTTTTTGTTGTTTTTTTTTTTTTTTTGAGATGGGGTCTTGCTCTATTGCCCAGGCTGCAGCTTCAACCTCCTGGGCTCAAGTGATTCTCCTACCTCAGCCTCCCGAGTACCTGGGACCACAGGCTTGCACCAACAAGCCTGGCAAATTCATTCTTATTTTTGTAGAGACAGGGTCTCCCTGTGTCGCTCAGGCCAGTCTCAAACTCCTGGGCTCAACTGATCCTCCCGCCTCGACTTCCCAAAGTATTGGGATTACAGGCATGAGCCCCCATGCTTGACTTTGATTTATTCTTTCAGATCATCCCTCTGGCTGCCTGATGAATTATAAGCATACAGTTGCTCCTTTGTGACGCTCTCCTGCCTTAGTTTCCCCCCGTTCTGTTCACTCTCTCCTCTCAGGTTCTACCTCTCTCTGCTTAGCCAACTTCTGAATTATATGTGCTCCACTGGGCTCAGCCTGTGTCTACTGTCACCCCACACACTTCCCCAGGCCTTCTTGCCCACCTTACTGAGCCTGGTCACATGCTAGTACCTCACAAATCAGCTTAGCCAGAGAAAACTACACAGTCATCAGAAGAGAGAGACCCCCCTCCCTGAGGTAATCCCCCTTGCCAGCTGCAAGTGAGAGAAACTCACCCCAAATTGGCTTAAGCAAAATAAAAGGGGCATGTATTGGTCCATATAACCACAAATATAAAGGCTGGGACTAGCTTGAAGCATGGCAGAATCCGGGGGCCCAACAGCTGTTACTAGGAATCTTGTCTCTTTTCTCCATTTGTGATCTCTACTTTCCTCTAGAAGGCTTCATTCTCAGGCTGACTGTCCTCAAAGACAGAGAAGTGGTCATAGGCAGCCCCAGGATCCCATTTTCCCAGCTGAGTTACCCTGAGAATAAAAGAGTCCTTTCCCAAAAGTCCAGCTCTCATTGACCCAGCTGAAGTCACATACTCATTACTAAACCAATCATCATGATTCAGATTAGCCAAGCCTGGGACTGGAGGGTGGAGTCAGCCCCATCTGAACAGCATGGACT